CAAAATCCCATTTTTCCTTTTTTCCCCCCGTTTCGCAGCCGGCCCGGTGATCATGTCCCTGGAGGAGAAGATGGAGGCCGACGCCCGCTCCATCTACGTGGGCAATGTGAGTCCAAACCCGCCCCAAATCCCCCCAAAATCACCCCAAAATCACCCCAAAAATACACCAAAAATACCTCCCAAAAAATACACAAAAACACACCCCCAAAAATTACACCTAAAATTACCTCCGCATAAAATACCACCAAAATCACACGCACCAGAAATTACCCCAAAAATACAAAAAAGACCCCCCCAAAAATACCCTAAAATACCCTAAAAAGCACCCCAAAAATACCCCCAAAACACCCCAAAATCAGCCCAAAAAACACCCCAAAAATCACCCCAAAAATACCCCAAAAAACACCCCCAAAACACCCCAAAAACACCCCAAAATCAGCCCAAAAATACCCCAAAACCCACCCCAAAATTACCTCAAAAATACCCCAAAAACACCCCAAATCATCCCAAAATCACCCCAAAACCACCCCAAAAAACACCTGAGAGACACCCCAAAAAATACCCCAAAAACCACCCCAAAATCACCGCAAAAATACCCCCAAAACCACCCCAAAATCAGCCCAAAATCATCTGAGAAACAAGCCCAAAAATACCTTCAAAACCACCTCAAAATCACCCCAAAAGTACCCCAAAAACCACCCCAAAATCACCCCAAAATTACCCCAAAAACACCCTAAAAATACCCTAAAAAACACCCCACAACCTACTCCACAAACACCCCCAAAATATTCCAAAATCAACCCAAAACCACCCCAAAATTACCCCAAAAAATACCCCAAAAAACACCCCACAAACACCCCAAAAATACCCCAAAATCACCCCAAAAAATCTCAATTCTGACAGCCCCAAAATCACCCCCAAATGGCCTCAAATCGCCCCAAAATCACCTCAAAAACACCCCAAAAAACACCCCAAAAATACCCCAAAATCACCCCAAAAACACCTCAAAAATACCCCAAAAAACACCCCAAAATCAGCCCAAAAACACCCCAAAAATACCCCAAAAAACAGCCCAAAAATACCCCAAAAACACCCCCAAAACACCCCAAAAATACCCTAAAACCACCCCAAAATCAGCCCAAAAAACACCCCAAAAACACCTCAAAAATACCCCAAAAAACACCCCAAAATCAGCCCAAAAAACGCCCCAAAATCAACCCAGAAAATACCCCTAAAACACCCCAAAAATACTCCAAAACCACCCCAAAAATACCTCAAAATACACCCCCAAAACACCCCAAAAATACCCCAAAAACACCCTAAAAATACCCTAAAAAACACCCCAAAATCACCCCAAAAAACACCCCAAAATCACCCAAAAAATACCCCGAAAAACACCCCAAAATCACCGGAAAAATACACCAAAAATACCCCCAAAACCACCCCAAAATCAACCCAAAATCATCTGAGAAACAAACCCAAAAATACCCCAAAAACACCCCAAAATCACCCCAAAACCACTCCAAAAATACCCCAAAAAACACCCTAAAAATACCCAAAAAACACCCTAAAAATACCCAAAAAACACCCCAAAAATACCCCCAAAACACTCCAAAAAAACCCCCAAAACACCCCAAAAATACCCCAAAACCACCCCAAAATCAACCCAAAACCCACCCCAAAATCACCACAAAAATATTCCAAAATCACCCCAAAAATACCCCCAAAATCACCCCAAAAATACCCCCAAAATCACCCCAAAAATACCCCAAAATCACCCCAAAAATACCCCAAAATCACCCCAAAAATACCCCAAAAAACACCCCCAAAATACCCCAAAAAACACTCCAGAAACATCCCAAAAATATCCCAAAATCACCCCAAAAATACCCCAAAATCACCCCAAAAAATTCCCCAAAACCACCCCAAAAATCCCCTCAAACACCCCGAAATTTTGGGTGAATTTTAAGTGGATTTGGGGAAAGTTTGGGGTCAATTTTGGGTCAATTTGGGGTAAATTTGGGGTAAATTTCAGGCAATTTTGGGTAAATTTTGGGGCAAATTTTAAGGGAACTTGGGGCAGTTTTGGGGTAAATTTGGGGTTCATTTCAGGCAATTTTGGGTAAATTTTGGGGTGAATTTAAAGGAAATTTTGGGGTAAATTTTAGGTGGATTTTGGGTAAATTTGGGGCAAATTTTAAGGGAATTTTGAGGTAAATTTGAGGTCGATTCGGGTCAATTTTAGGGTAAATTTGGAGTAAATTTCAGGCAATTTTGGGCAAAATTGGGGACAAATTTTAAGGGAATTTGGGGCAATTTTCGGGTAAATTTGGGGTTAATTTCAAGTGGATTTGGGGTAAGTTTGGGGTCAATTTTGGGTAAATTTGGAGCAAATTTCAAGCAATTTTGGGTAAACTTGGGGTCAAATTTTAAGGGAATTTTGGGACAATTTTGGGGGTAAATTTGGGGACAAATTTTAAGGGAATTTTGGAGGTAAATTTTGGGTTAATTTCAAGTGGATTTGGGGGTAAATTTTGGGTCAATTTTGGGTAAATTTGGAGTAAATTTCAAGTGATTTTGGGTAAATTTTGAGGACAAATTTTAAGGGAATTTTGGGGGTAAATTTTGGGTTAATTTCAAGTGGATTTGGGGGTAAATTTTGGGTCAATTTTGGGTAAATTTGGAGTAAATTTCAAGTGATTTTGGGTAAACTTGGGGACAAATTTTAAGGGAATTTTGGAGGTAAATTTTGGGTTAATTTCAAGTGGATTTGGGGGTAAATTTTGGGTCAATTTTGGGTAAATTTGGAGTAAATTTCAAGTGATTTTGGGTAAAATTGAGGCCAAATTTTAAGGGAATTTGGGACAATTTTGGGGGTAAATTTGGGGTTAATTTCAAGTGGATTTGGGGGTAAATTTTGGGTTCAATTTTGGGTAAATTTGGGGACAAATTTAAGGGAATTTGGGGAAATTTGGGGGTTTTGGCAATTTTGGGTCAAATTTTAAGGGAATTTGGGGCAATTTTGGGGTAAATTTGGGGTTAATTTCAAGTGGATTTGGGGGTAAATTTTGGGTCAAATTTTAAGGGAATTTGGGGCAATTTTGGGGTAAATTTGGGGTTAATTTCAAGTGGATTTGGGGGTAAATTTTGGGTCAATTTTGGGTAAATTTGGGGACAAATTTAAGGGAATTTGGGGCAATTTTGGGGGTAAATTTCAGGCAATTTTGGGGGCAAATTTTATGGGAATTTGGGGCAATTTTGGGGTAAATTTGGGGTTAATTTCAAGCGATTTTGGGTAAATTTGGAGTAAATTTCAAGCGATTTTGGGTAAATTCGGGGGCAAATTCGGGGCAATTTTGGGCCAAATTTTCAGGGAATTTCAGGCCAATTTCAGGCGATTTTGGGCCAGTTTTCCCTGGAATTTGGGGCTTGTTTTGCAGGTGGATTACGGGGCGACGGCCGAGGAGCTGGAGGCTCATTTCCACGGCTGCGGCTCCGTCAACCGCGTCACCATCCTCTGCGACAAGTACAGCGGCCACCCCAAGGGGTAAGGGGGGGGACACGCCCCCTTTGGGCAGGCCACGCCCACTTTGGGGCAGGCCACGCCCCCTTTTTTGGGTTGCACCCCCTTTTTTTGGGAGATTTCACCCATTTTTTGGGGGGTTACACCCCTTTTTTGAGGAGTTTTCCCCAGTTTTGGGGGGTTACACCCGATTTCGGGGGGGTCCTGTCCCTTTAAGAGGGGCCACGCCCACTCTTTTGGAAACCACGCCCACTTTTTGGGAGGAGCCTCATGCTTTTGCGTGAAGCCACGCCCACTTTTAAGGGAAGCCACACCCACTTTGAGGAGACTCCTCAGAGTTTTTAGGAAGCCACGCCCACTTTGAGGGGGCTCCTCCCAGTTTTTAGGAAGCCACACCCACTTCTAAGGAAGCCACACCCACTTTGAGGAGACTCCTCCCAGTTTTAAGAAGCCACACCCACTTATTAAAGGAAACCACGCCCACCTTGAGGAGACTCCTCCCAGTTTTTAGGAAGCCACGCCTACTTTTAAAAGGAAGCCACACCCATTTTGAGGAGGCTCCTCCCCGGTTTTAGGAAGCCACACCCACTTTGAGGAGTAGTCTCCCAGTTTTTAGGAAGCCACGCCCACTTTTAAAGGAAGACACACCCACTTTGAGGAGGCTCCTCCCCGGTTTTAGGAAGCCACACCCACTTTCGAGGAGGAGCCTTACTGTTTTTAGGAAGCCACGCCCACTTTGAGGAGACTCTTCCCTGGTTTTAGGAAGCCACGCCCACTTTTAAAGGAAGGCACACCCACTTATGAGGAGGCTCCTCCCAGTTTTTAGGAAGCCACGCCCACTTTTAAAGGAAGGCACGCCCACTTTGAGGAGGCCCCTCCCACTTTTTAAGGAAGGCCCCCCCCACACTTCTGGGAGGTCACCCCCCCTTTTTGAGAGGCTCCACCCACTTTTAAGGAGGCCACACCCACTTTTAGGGAGGCCCCTCCTATTTTTAAGGAAGCCACGCCTACTTTTGCCCGATTTTCCCCCAAATTTCCACCCATTTTTTCTCAAATTTTGTCCCAATTTTCCCCGAATTTCGCACCCATTTTTTCTCCAAATTTCCACCCATTTTTTCCAAAATTTTTCCTGATTTTCCCCCAAATTTCCACCCATTTTCCCCCAAATTTTGTTCATTTTTTCTCCAAATTTCCACCCATTTTTTCCAAAATTTTTCCTGATTTTCCCCCAAATTTCCACCCATTTTCCCCCAAATTTTGTTCATTTTTTCTCCAAATTTCCACCCATTTTTTCCAAAATTTTTCCTGATTTTCCCCCAAATTTCCACCCATTTTCCCCCAAATTTTGTTCATTTTTTCTCCAAATTTCCACCCATTTTTTCCAAAATTTTTCCTGATTTTCCCCCAAATTTCCACCCATTTTTCCCCCAAATTTTGTTCATTTTCCCTCCAAATTTCCACCCATTTTCCCCCAAATTTTGTTCACTTTCCCTTCAAATTTTCACCCATTTTCCCCCAAATTTTGTTTACTTTCCCTTCAAATTTTCACCCATTTTTTCCCAAATTTTGCCCAATTCTCCCCCAAATTTTGCCCATTTTTTTTCAAATTTCCCCCCAAATTTCCACCCATTTTCCCCCAAATTTTGCCCAATTTTCCCCCAAATTTTGTCCATTTTTTCCCAAATTTTACCCATTTCTCCCCCAAATTTTGCCCAATTTTCCCCCAAATTTTGCCCATTTTTTCCCAAATTTTGCCCGATTTTCCCCCAAATTTTGCCCATTTCTCCCTCAAATTTTTCCTGATTTCCCCCCAAATTTCCACCCATTTTCCCCAAAATTTTGTTCATTTTTTCTCCAAATTTCCACCCATTTTTTCCAAATTTTTTCCTGATTTTCCCCCAAATTTCCACTCATTTTTTCCCAAATTTTGCCCATTTTTTTTCAAATTTTCCCCCAAATTTCCACCCACTTTCCCCCAAATTTTGTTCATTTTTCCTCCAAATTTCCCCCCATTTTTTCCCAAATTTTACCCAATTTTCCCCCAAATTTCCACCTGTTTTTCCCCCAAATTTTACCCATTTTTTCCCAGATTTTGCCCAATTTTCCCCCAAATTTTGTTCATTTTTCTCCAAATTTTGCCCAATTCTCCCCCAAATTTTGTCCATTTTTTCCCAAATTTTGCCCGATTTTCCCCCAAATTTCCACCCGTTTTTCCCCCAAATTTTACCCATTTTTCCTCAAAATTTTGCCCAATTCTCCCCCAAATTTTGTCCATTTTTTTCAAATTTTCCCCCAAATTTCCACCCATTTTTTCCCAAATTTTCCTGATTTCTCCCTCAAATTTTTCCTGATTTCCCCCCAAATTTCCACCCATTTTTTCCCAAATTTTGCCCATTTTTCCTCCAAATTTCCACCCATTTTTTCCCAAATTTTGTCCATTTTTCCCAAATTTTGCCCAATTTTCCCCTAAATTTTACCCAAATTTTGCCCATTTTTCCCCTCAAATTTTGTCCCTTTTTTCCAAATTTTGTTCATTTTTCCTCCAAATTTCCCCCCATTTTTTCCCAAATTTTGCCCAATTTCCCCCCAAATTTCCCCTCGTTTTTCCTCCCATTTTTTAACCTCAAATCCCCATTTTTTTCCCCAAAACCCCCATTTTTTCACTCCAATCCCCATTTTTTCACCTCCCAATCCCATTTTTCACACTTCCCAACCCCCCTCTCGCTCCTTTTTGCCTGATTTTGCCCTTTTTTACCCCAAACCAGCTTCGCCTACATCGAGTTCTCGGACAAGGAGTCGGTGAGGACGTCGATGGCCCTCGACGAGTCGCTCTTCAGGGGGAGGCAAATCAAGGTAAAAAACCCCAAAAAACGACCCCAAAACCACCCCAAATCCCTCAGAATTTCCCCAGAATTTTCCCTGGAATTTTCCCAATTTTTTTCAGATTTTTCCCAAATTTTTCTGATTTTTTTCAGATTTTTTCCTGAATTTTTCTGATTTTTTCCCGATTTTTTCTGATTTTTTTTCAGATTTTTTTCCAAATTTTTCTGGTTTTTTTTCAGATTTTTTCCCGAATTTTTCTGATTTTTTTTTCACATTTTTCCCGAATTTCTCTGATTTTTTTTCACATTTTTCCCCAAATTTTTCTGATTTTTTTTCAGATTTTTCCCAAATTTTTTCAGATTTTTCCCGAATTTTTCTGATTTTTTTTCAGATTTTTTCCCAAATTTTTCTGGGTTTTTTTCTGATTTTTTTCCAAATTTTTCTGATTTTTTTTCACATTTTTCCCTGAATTTTTCTGATTTTTTTCAGATTTTTCCCGAATTTTTCTGATTTTTTTTCAGATTTTTTTCTGAATTTGTCTCATTTTTTTCCAGATTTTTTCCCGAATTTTTCTGATTTTTTTTCAGATTTTTTCCCAAATTTTTCTGATTTTTTTCAGATTTTTCCCGATTTTTCCCTGATTTTTTCCTGATTTTTTTGTGAATTTTCCCTCAATTTCACCCCAAATTTTCCCCAAATTTCCCAAAAAAGGGACTTAAAGTTCTCCAACTTTCTCCCCTTTTTTCCTAATTTTTCTGATTTTTTTTCAGATTTTTTCCCATTTTTTCCTGATTTTTTCCCATTTTTTTCTGATTTTTTTTCAGATTTTTTCCTGAATTTTTCTAATTTTTTTTCCAGATTTTTTCCCCGATTTTTTCATGATTTTTCGGTGAATTCTCCCTGAATTTCACCCCAAATTTTCCCCAAATTTCCCAAAAACGGGACTCTCCAATTTTCTTCCTTTTTTCCTGGTTTTCACCCAAATCTCCCTAATTTTCCCTCAGAATTCCCTGAATTCCCCCCAATTCCCCTCAAATTCCACCATTTTTTAACCAATTTTCCCCTGATTTTTGCCCAATTTTCACCAATTTTCACCCAAATCCCCCCAAATTTTTCCAAATCTCCCCTTTTTCCCCTCAAATCCCATCAACTTTCCCTCAGAATTCCCAAATTTTCCCTCAAATTCCCTCCCAATCCCTCCAAAATCCCCTCTAATTCCACCATTTTGTGACCGATTTTCACCCAATTTTCTCCCAAATTTCACCATTTTTCACCCAAATTTTTCCATTTTCCCTCAGAATTCCCTGATTTCCACCCAAATTTCCCCATTTTTCACCCAAATTCCCTCCTTTTTCCCTCAGAATTCCCTGAATTCCCCCCAATTCCCCTCAAATTCCGCCATTTTGTAACCGATTTTCGCCCGATTTTCTCCCAAATTTCACCGATTTTCACCCAAATTTTTCCATTTTCCCTCAGAATTCCTTGATTTCCACCCAAATTTTCCCATTTTCCACCCAAATCTCCCTAATTTTCCCTCAGAATTCCCAAATTTCCCCTCAAATTCCTTCCCAATCCCTCCAATTCTGCCATTTTGTAACCGATTTTCGCCCAAATTTCACCATTTTTCACCCAAATTTCACCATTTTCCTCTAAAATTTCCTCATTTTCACCTAAATCTCCTCATTTTTCCCTCAAATCCCATCAACTTTCCCTCAGAATTCCCAAATTTTCCCTCAAATTCCCTCCAAATCCCTCCGAAATCCCCTCAAGTTCCGTCATTTTGTAACCGATTTTCACCTGATTTTCTCCCAAATTTCACCGATTTTCACCCAAATTTTTCCATTTTCCCTCAGAATTCCCTGATTTTCACCCAAATTTCCCCATTTTTCACCCAAATTCCCTCCTTTTTCCCTCAGAATTCCCAAATTTCCCCCCCAATTCTCCTCTAATTCCACCATTTTGTGACCGATTTTCACCCTATTTTCACCCAAATTTCACCGATTTTCACCCAAATTTTTCCATTTTCCCTCAAAATTCCCTGATTTCCACCCAAATTTCCCCATTTTTCACCCATATTTCCCTAATTTTCCCTCAGAATTCCCAAATTTTCTCTCAAATTCCCTCCCAATCCCTCTGAAATCCCCTCAAGTTCCGCCATTTTGTAACTGATTTTCACCCAATTTTCGCCCAAATTTCGCCAATTTTCACACAAATTTTACATTTTCCCTCAGAATTCCCAAATTTGCATCCAAATTTCCCCATTTTTCACCCAAATTCCCTCCTTTTTCCCTCAGAATTCCCGAATTTTCCCCCCAATTCCCCTCCAATTCCGCCATTTTGTAACCGATTTTCACCCTATTTTCACCCAAATTTCACCAATTTTCACTCAAATTTCACTGATTTTCACCCAAATTTTTCCATTTTCCCTCAGAATTCCCAAATTTGCATCCAAATTTCCTCAATTTCCACTCTAATTCCCTCCTTTTTCCCTCAGAATTCCCTGAATTCCCCCAATTCCCCTCAAACTCCGCCATTTTGTAACCGATTTTCACCCATTTTTCACCCAAATTTCACCAATTTTCACCCAAATTTTTCCATTTTCCCTCAGAATTCCTTGATTTCCACCCAAATTTTCCCATTTTCCACCCAAATCTCCCTAATTTTCCCTCAGAATTCCCGAATTTTCCCCCCAATTCCCCCCAAATTCCGCCATTTTGTGACCGATTTTCGCCCAATTTTCTCCCAAATTTCACCGATTTTCACCCAAACTTTCCATTTTCCCTCATAATTCCCAAATTTGCATCCAAATTTCTTCAATTTCCACTCTAATTCCCTCCTTTTTCCCTCAGAATTCCCAAATTTCCCCCAATTCCCCTCAAACTCCACCATTTTGTAACCGATTTTCACCATTTTTCACCCAAATTTTTCCATTTTCCCTCAGAATTCCTTGATTTCCACCCAAATTTTCCCATTTTCCACCCAAATCTCCCTAATTTTCCCTCAGAATTCCCAAATTTCCCCTCAAATTCCCTCCAAATCCCTCCGAGATCCCCTCAAATTCCGCCATTTTGTAACCGATTTTCACCCAAATTTCACCATTTTTCACCCAAACTTCACCATTTTCCTCTAAAATTTCCTCATTTTCACCTAAATCTCCCCTTTTTCCCCTCAAATCCCATCAACTTTCCCTCAGAATTCCCAAATTTTCCCTCAAATTCCCTCCCAATCCCTCCGAAATCCCCTCAAGTTCCGTCATTTTGTAACCGATTTTCACCCCAATTTCTCCCAAATTTCACCGATTTTCACCCAAATTTTTCCATTTTCCCTCAGAATTCCCAAATTTGCATCCAAATTTCTTCAATTTCCACTCTTATTCCCTCCTTTTTCCCTCAGAATTCCCTGAATTCCCCCCAATTCCCCTCAAATTCCACCATTTTGTAACCGATTTTCACCCATTTTTCATCCAAATTTCACCCAAATTTCCTCCATTTTCCCTCAGAATTCCCTGATTTTCACTCAAATTTCCCCATTTTTCACCCAAATTCCCTCCTTTTTCCCTCAGAATTCCCAAATTTCCCCTCAAATTCCCCCCAAATCTCTCCAAAATCCCCTCAAATTCCGCCATTTTGTAACCGATTTTCGCCCAAATTTCACCATTTTTCACCCAAATTTGCCCATTTTCCCCCAAAATTTCCTCGTTTTCGCCCAAATCTCCTCATTTCTCCCTCAAATCCCATCAACTTTCCCTCAGAATTCCCAAATTTCCCCTCAAATTCCCTCCAAATCCCTCCAAAACCCCCTCAAACTCCGCCATTTTGTGACCGATTTTCGCCGAATTTTCACCGTTTTTCACCCAAATTTCGCCCAAATTCCACCCAAATTTTCCCCAAACCTCCCTGAATTCCCAAATTTCGTGTTTTCCCCCTTTTCCAGGTGATCCCGAAGCGCACGAACCGCCCCGGGATCAGCAGCACCGACCGGGGGTTCCCGCGCGGCCGCTTCCGGGGCCGGGGGGGAGGGTTCGGCTCCGCCCGCTCCCGATTCTACAGCGGCTTCCAACGGCCCCGAGGGAGGGGATACAGGTCAGTTTGGGGCAAAATCACACGGTTTTGGGACATTTTGGGGCCTGGGGAGTTTTAGGAATTTTCGGGGAATTTTTCGGGATTTTTTGGGAATTTTTGAGGTGATTTTTCGGAGGGTTTTGAGTGATTTTTTGGTCAAATTTCAGGGGGATTTTGGGGTGATTTCGGGGGATTTTGAGGCAGTTTTGGGTGAATTTGGGGTTTGGGAATTTTTAGGAATTTTTGGGGATTTTTCGGGATTTTTTCAGCATTTTTGGGGATTTTTTTGGAATTTTTTTGGTGATTTTTCGGAGGGTTTTGGGTGATTTTTCGGTCAAATTTTGGGTAGGTTTTGGGGGACTTTGGGGTCATTTGGAGGGATTTCAGGTCAGATTTGGGTGAATTTCGGGGTTTGGGAATTTTTCAGAATTTTTGGGAATTTTTTGGGAATTTTTGGGGTGATTTTTCGGAGGGATTTGGGTGATTTTGTGATCAAATTTCGGGTGATTTTTGGGGTCATTTCAGGGGATTTCAGGTCAGTTTTGGGTGGATTTGAGTAAATTTGGGGTCTGGGGAATTTTTGGGATTTTTTTTGGAATTTTTGGGGATTTTTTGGGAATTTTTGGGGTGATTTTTCGGAGGGTTTTGGGTGATTTTGTGGTCAAATTTTGAGTGGGTTTTGGGGGACTTTGGGGTCATTTGGAGGGATTTTGAGTCAGTTTCGGGTGGATTTGGGTGAATTTGGGGATTGGGAATTTTTGGGGAATTTTTTGGAATTTTTTCAGAATTTTTAGGGAATTTTTCAGAATTTTTGGGGTGATTTTTGAGAGGGTTTTGGGTGATTTTGTGGTCAAGTTTCAGGGGGATTTTGGGGTGATTTTGGGGGATTTTGGGTCAGATTTGGGTGAATTTGGGGGTTGGGAATTTTTAGGAATTTTTTGGGATTTTTCAGATTTTTTGGGAATTTTTGGGGTGATTTTTCGGAGGGTTTTGGGTGATTTTTTGGTCAAATTTCTGGTGATTTTTGGGGAAATTTCAGGGATTTTGGGTCAGATTTGGGTGAATTTGGGGGTTTGGGAATTTTTGGGAATTTTTTGGGATTTTTTCGGAATTTTTGGGAATTTTTTTGGTGATTTTTCGGAGGGTTTTGGGTGATTTTTGTGGTCGGATTTTGGCATGATTTCGGGGGATTTGGGGTCAGATTTAGGTGGATTTGGGTCAATTTGGGGTCTGGGGAATTTTTGGGGATTTTTCAGGAATTTTTAAGGAATTTTTGGGGAATTTTTTCAGAATTTTTGGGAATTTTTGGGGTGATTTTTTGGAGGGTTTTGTGTGATTTTGTGGTCAAAGTTTGGGTGATTTTGGGGGGATTTTGGGGTCATTTTGGGGCATTTTGGGTCAGATTTTAGTGGATTTGGGGGTTTGGGAATTTTTGGGAATTTTTCAGGATTTTTTTGGAATTTTGGGGGTGATTTTTCGGAGGGTTTCGGGTGATTTTTCGGTCAAATTTCTGGTGATTTTTGGGGTAATTTCGGGGATTTTGGGTCAGTTTTGGGTGAATTTGGGGGTTGGGGAATTTTGGGGAATTTTTTGGGATTTTTTCAGGAATTTTTGGGGTGATTTTTGGGGAATTTTTCAGATTTTTTTTGGAATTTTTGGGGTGATTTTTGAGAGGGTTTTGGGTGATTTTTTGGTCAAATTTCTGGTGATTTTTTGGGAAATTTCAGGGATTTTGGGTCAGATTTTGGTGAATTTGGGGGTTGGGGAATTTTTGGGAGTTTTTTGGGAATTTTTTGGGATTTTTTTGGAATTTTTTTGGTGATTTTTGAGAGGGTTTTGGGTGATTTTGTGGTCAAATTTCTGGTGATTTTTGGGGATTTTTGGGTCAGTTTTGGGTGGATTTTGGCTCAGATTTGGGTGAATTTGGGGGTTTGGGAATTTTTGGGGAATTTTTGGGGAATTTTTTGGGAATTTTTGGGGAATTTTTTGGGAATTTTTCGGGATTTTTAGGGAATTTTTCAGATTTTTGGGGAATTTTTGGGGTGATTTTTGGAGGGTTTTGTGTCATTTTGGGGTCAAATTTTGGGTGATTTTTGGGGTCATTTCGGGGGATTTCGGGTCAGGTTTGGGTGGATTTGGGTCAATTTGGGGGTTTGGGAATTTTGGGGATTTTTGGGAAATTTTTCAGGATTTTTTGGGGAATTTTTCAGATTTTTGGGGAGTTTTTGGGGTCGAATCCGGGTGATTTTGGGGTGATTTGGGGTCGAATTCAGGTGGTTTTGGGGTGATTTTGGGTTTGGGTTTTTTGGGGATATTTTGGGGGGGTTTGGGGGTGATTTGGGGACTTTTGGGGTGTTTTGGGGCGATTTTGGGGTGTTTTGGGGTGATTTTGGATGATTTTGGGTCAAATTCGGGTGATTTGGGAGGGTTTTTTTGGGGGGTGATTTTTTTGTTTTTT